TTTTGTACTCAGCTGACTTTTCATGCTGTCTCTAAAGGAATGAAAGATTTTTTCCAAGCACTAAGCTCACTTAGCTGATTGCTCCTTCCTGTGGAAAAGACGTCTGGATGCTAACAGACATTCTGCTTCAGAGTGAAAGAAAACCTTCAGAGTTCCTGGAGAAATGAGCATCAGTAGCTGATCAGAGGTCAGCTCCTCGGGTCGGTTTCTGTCAGCATGTGTATCTCTGAAGGCGGAGCTTCACCTGCTGGGAGTCTGACTCTGAAGCCGTTGGCGAGCAGCCGCGGGTCGGAGAAGAAGACGCTTCCATCCAGCTCTGCTGCTCCTTTCTTCATGCTGCACAGCGTCTCAAACTCTGCTCCTCCCAGGTTCCTGGAAGACAGACAAGTTCAGCGTCAGCTCAGCATCAGATGGCGGCGTTCCGCTGCATCACGGCGGCGTACCCGTCTGTGAGGCGCAGCGGGTTCTGCAGGACCGCCGCCGGGAGGACGTGGTTCTCCTGGAGCCTCTTAAACAGCAAAGCTTCTTCTACTCGATACGGGTTGAACAGCAGGAGCCTCCGCCCCGCCATGACGGCCCAGCAGCTCTGGGAGCCCAGGCGGTTCACCAGCCGGAGGCCCCGCGGCGGCGCCGAGCTCTGAGAAGACAGGCGCTGGAGCCCCAGGCGGAGGGCCGCCATGCTGCAGAGGAGGGGCCGCGAAGGCTTGGGGGGCGGAGTCTTGGTCTTCTTCTGGGGCTGAGCGGAGAACAGCTCGTCCAGCAGCTGCTGGTTGGACGGCGGCGCTTTGCGCTTCACGCTCTGCGCTTTAGCCCTCTCAGTCGGCCCCTGGGGGCCCCCGTCTGACGCCAGCTTGGTCCTCTGCTCATGGAGGTCGTGTTTTTTCTTTGCTTTCTCCTCATACCTGCAGCAGAGAGAGGAGAGTGAGACGCAGCCTGATCCCGGTGGCCCCGCCCACTTTAGAAAAGTCTGGAACTCACGTCTTCCTGTCCTCTTCCCTCAGGTTTCTCCACCTCTCCTGAACGGCGGCGCTGACCTCCTGCAGGCTGGCGGCGGGCCGCTCCCTCAGAACCTCGGACCGGGCCTCCTTCTCGAACAGGGAGGCGGGGGACGGCGGCGCCCGCATGGCGCGGCTGCTGATCATGTCGTAGGCCGTCAGTGTCGCTCCTTTCTCCGTCACGGAATTGATCAGTTTTTTACTCCTGGCCTCCTGCGGGCCGGGGGAACCGGGCCCAGAGGGCCGGTGGACCAGGACGGGTCGGAGGGGGTCTCCTGTTACCGGGTCGGTCAGAGCCGTCCCCCGGCTCCAGTCCTGGGCAGAAATCTTCCTGGTTTCACGCTCCTCCTCTGGTTTCTCCGGTTCAGAACCGGTCTGCTCTGGTTTGGGCCGAGCCGCAGCGGTTTCATCTCCACAGAGAGAGGAAACGGAGCAGAGCTCGCTGGGAGGCGGGTTGATGATCCAATCATCCGCCGTGGAGGATGAGGAGCTGCAGCTGGAGGCCTGGCGCTGCAGAGCAGCCTGAGGGTCGGCGCCGCCGCCATGTTTGGGTTCTGCTGTCGGAGCGTCTTCATGAACCCGGATGTTCTGGTCCTCCTTCGCCTCCGATCGAGCCGACGGAGGAGGAGGAGCCTCGTGGTTCAGCTGCTGTTCAGCCGAACTGGAGCGGAACCCGTAGAGAGAAACCAGCAGAGCCTCCAACGCCGTCAGAACCGCCTCCTGGACACCAGGGACAGACGGTCAGAGGACGTCCTCCATGACCCCGGGGGGGCCGCGGGGAAACCGACCCCTACCTTGTTATCCAGAAGGACCTGGGTTTTATCCGGCGTCAGGTTGACGTCCAGAGATGAAGGAGAGACAGAGATGCTGAGCAGCAGGATGGGGAAGCGGTGGCGGGCGGCGTCCTCGGCGTACTGGGCGCAGTAATGCTGACGGAGCAGCTGGAGGAGAAGGACAGAGATGAAGGACGGACAGAGAGGAGGAGGACAGAGATGAAGGACGGACAGAGAGGAGGAGGACAGCAGCAGGGCAGAGGTTTCACCTTCATGATCTCCTTCTGCTGGACGGGCCGCCGGTTGATGAAGATGAAGGTCTTCTCTGAGGCGGAGCAGCTGGTGGAGGACAGATCGGCCCCCGGTTTGGGCAGGAAGCCGTCCAGAACCATCTGGGATGAAAACAAGATGGAGGTTAAAGCAAACATCACCGGGACAGCTTCATCTGCAGGACCAATCATCTGGCAGAACCAGAGGACGACGCTTCATTGGTCTGTCAGCAGAGCTCAGGAAGAGTCTGAAAGTTTTACATCCTCTGGAGTTTCATTTTAATATATTACTCACAAAATAATAATAACATAAAAAATATAAATTCTGAGGACAGATTGGGCAGTTAATTCCAATAAAACTGTTTTTCAGTCTGACAGGAGTCGTGACTTTCCCCTCCTGCCCTCTAGGTGGCAGCAAAGCCACTTAAAGTGGGTAACTGATTAAATAACAAATGTTTATATTTGCATAAATAATGATAAAAAAACAGTTTGAAAATTTTTTTTGTCCTTATAAGAACAAAAAGCCATTAGACAAAACATTAATTTACCATTCACTACGATTTGACAACAAAGTCTGGACAATCACAAAAAATAAAAATGAAGACCAAATAACTTTACTCTCTTTTTTAAATCACATTACAACAAATTTTCCTCTATAGATCCTAATACTCTTTATCCTTACAAATACTGAATAATAATATAATACTATATATATAAAACATCTTATAACATAATAATATAAAACTTTGTATTCATCATATTAATATTTATTAGCAAAATATAAAACTTTGCATAAATCTCATCCAGTTTAATCTGAATAAATCTGTAATCTAACTGAAGTCTTAAACTTTTTTAAGGGGTAGTGACGTGGAAGAGCGTCTGAACTGTGGTCCCATCCAAGATGGCCGCCCTCTAGGCATGTCTGCCTCGTTGCCGGTAGCGTCCAATGAAGCGTCTACGTATAGAATGTCTATGTGATGAACGTTAGCTTCGAGGCCCTGCTGGGGGCCTGCTGGGGCCCGCGGCCCCTGCTTTAAAGCCACACTGCCCTGAAGGTCGTCTGAGGCCAGAACCAGAACATCTGGGTTCTGCTAGAACTGGACTTTAAATCAGGAACCAGAACCCAAAAGTTTGAAACCTTTAGATTTCCATGTGTAGAAAATGATGAGTCATGATTCCTTCTCTGTCAGCTA